ACTGCATGACGGGGAAGTTCGAATAAGAGACTTTTTCTCAGGGGGGAAAGGGTGTATGTGAGAGATGCTAGAATGTTTGGGCATCCAGACGAAAATAAAAAACGAACTAAACCAGAAGCATTGTAGCACCTTAAAGACTAAATGTTATATTTCAGTGCAAGCTTGCGTGAGTTTTAGAAGACCAAGCGATACTGTGGTCTGTGCTAGAGTACCAGGCAAAAACAAAAGTAAAAGAAACAATAAAGAAGAGAAACATGTTGTGGCGTGTTAAACACAAACGGTTGTGTTTTAATGTGGGCTATTCATGGACAAGTCTGAAAAAAGGTTTTTGTTTTTTTTTAAATTCATTTTTGCCTGCTAAGCGTTCATGGGTATATCCACTTCTTCAGAAATATTGAAGTGACACAAAACCACGAGAAGGTTCGAAAATGACTTCACTGAACTGGCTACAGAAAACAAGTCCCAGTTCATCTCTAAGGGCCTTGGAACACGGTCAAAGCTTCTTGACATACTTACACATGTTAACACCCAACTTTCTGTAATATTTTATGGGTAGAAAGCAGTTGCCTCCCTTGACAGATTCTGGCCTGTGTCCCAGAAACATCATCTTAGCATTCCTGTGACAGGCAAGTTCCTCACCCTGAACAGGACCTGCTAAAAAACCGTTGCCTCTTTGCTCTCTGTATCCATCTATAATCATGGAGAGAGATAAACATGGAGGACATCGCCCTTGCAGCCTTTGCGTCTGAAGAAGTGGGTTTTGATCCTCAGTCACTCACACCAATATAACACTCTGTCTGTAAAGTGCTACAATATTTTGGCTCTTTCTTTTGCCAATGCGCTGAAACTGAAGAGTCTAATCAAAAGCAAAATATTCCACTGAGAGGGCTGGGCAACCTTGGAGCCGCTGAGCCTTCCCTCCCTCCTTTTCATCCTGCTTCCATGTTGTGATGGCAGAATTACGCCGCGGGTTGCTTTGAAGCAAGAACGTATGGGTGGTTTATCTCACCCGCCTTCTGTTTCCCCACCTGCAGAATCAACAAGCTGGGCTCCGGCAACGATTTTGAGGTCTTCTTCCAGAGGCTGGGCATCGCTTCCGGCAGAGCCCGTTACACGAAAAATTGGGTGAGCCTCCTTTCTGATGCTTTGTAGAGTTACAATGATGCCTCGTGAGGAACTTGGAATCTATCTATTAAAAAGCATGCCTTCTCCTTTGTCGTAATTAGCTCGTGCCAAGTTGATTTGACAAAAGGGACTGAGGGCATTTCCCTGAAATAAAGAAGGGTGGGAGCCAAAGATTTTATTATTTATTTATTTATTCAATTGGAATGAGGCAGCTGCCTCGGGCATCAGATGTTGGATGGCTGTAATGACAGCTCTCCCTGCTCTGGCCTCATCATTCTTCTTTGTTGGAGGCCAGAATATGTACAAGGTGTTTATGCCTTGTGCCCTCTAGACTACTCTGCCATTGGATCATCTTTGTTGAAGTGAACTTCAACAATCAGTTTGGTTCGTTGGTATGTGTTTAATACAGGTTGTGGCCATAGTGGTGCAGTGGTAAATTTGGAAGTGCGCCCCTCCACACACAAATAAGAACCCAAAAATACAAGTAGATGGATCAGTTGTTATCAACACATGAGCTTCAGGTCTTTTGTAAAGCTAATAGCTCTCGATTGCCCATTCGAAACCCTCAAAGGGTTGATGCTGTCACAGAGATAGTGTGAGCGACAACATATTCTTCCTGGGAAAACCCATTTCTCCTCCATTTATTGTGAATATTGCAGATAACTTCAAAGGGAACTGGATAGCCTGGCAGAGGGGAGTGGTAGGTGAAGTCAGTCCCTGCAAACCAGGATGGCCAGCCAAACAGAGCCGATAGGTATTCAATCCCAACCTATCTGGAGGACACCAGGCCCCAGTAGGAAGTCTCCAGAGTCTGCTCCTTTCCTTGAAGTGATTGCTTAGTTTCTGGATAACCAAGTCTTTTATCCAGTGCAAGACACCGGCATTTGCTATGTGTGGAAATCAGCAAGCTATGAAAGCGCCGTCGGCGCCCATTCCATTTTTGTTTCCCAGAAGGTGGACAAATACAGCAGCTACCCACTGTATCACAGCGCCTATGAGACTTACGAACTCGTGGAGAAGTTTTACGACCCCACTTTTAAGAACCACCTGGCCGTGGCCCAAGTGCGAGGAGGGATGGTGTTTGAGCTGGCAAACGCGGCCGTTCTTCCCTTTGACTGCCGAGATTACGCCCAGGCGCTGAGCCGCTATGCGAGTATCATTTACAACATGTCCCTGGAACACCAGGAAGCACTAAAAACCTACAAGGTATCCTTTGGTAAGTATTGCCACATCCAAGGTGGGGCACCAAGTAGGTCTGTTTGTGAGTTTTTGTTTTTGTTTGCTCCAGCAATTATCTCTTTCGTGTTTATTTTTAAAAGTACAGCAGCATTATACAGTAGGACCCCCTTCTCCACGGGTCCAGTATCCACTGATTCACTTATCTACCAAAATACAAAAAATCATAGAAATATATATTTCTGAAGATGAAGTTACCAGATCTTGCCACTAGAGACTATGCTATGTATACTGTTCTCTATTAAAATAGCGTTCATTATTCGTATTTTCAGCATCCGGGGGCGGGGGGAACTAGAACCAATCTTCTGTGGATACAGGGCCCTAATGTATTTAATACAAGGCAGCCTTCTGAAGGCCAAAATGCAGCTCCATCAGCACTTTGTTTATTTATTGATTTAATTTAATTTAATTTATTTATTAAACTTGCACACTGCTCCCATTAGTGAGAAGCACTATATTCTGGGTGGCAATACTCTGTGTTCCAGCCACGATCTGTTCACATCTTTATGCACTTAAACCCTGGTTTACTGATCCATTGAAAACTGTAGAATCTTTCAGTCCTCACCCCGCCGCCTTTACATATTTCCCCCGATTTACAGCTTAATTTGAAATAGTTGAAGACTACACAGAAAAACAAACCTTAGAGCGAGGGGAATCAAGATGTCTTAAAAGGAGATTTAGAGAACTTCTAAAGAACATTTGGCTGAGATGCAGTGGTCAGAGCCACCTCCTCCTGCCCTCTATAAAAGTAGACTTTGAGCTTTAAGTATTTGTGAGGAAGTTACAGAACTCATATTCTCTTGAATATGAGAGAATATGAGAGAACCCCACACATGGGGTCCCTAACCCCCTGTCCACAACCTGTACCAGACTGTGGCTTTGACAGGACCAGGCTGCAGAGACAGATCTCCCGCCCCCCACGCACGACCCCATGCATGCACACATGCACACACAGCATGCACACCCCATGTGCATGCATGGGTGCCCTGCCCACCCGCACATGTCTGCATGGTGTCCCACCCACCCACGCATGCATGCATGGGTGCTGAGCCCATCCACGCACCCTGGCCCCCAACTGGTCCGTGGTTCAGAAAAGGTTGGGGACCACTGCTTTAGCACCAAATATGACATACATTTGGGATGAAATTCCCAGAATCCATCAGTAAACATGGTCTCACTTCCTTTCTGCAGATTCTCTTTTTGATGCAGTGAAGAATTTTTCAGAAGCTGCTAAGGACTTCCACAGGAGACTGCAGCTACTAGACACCAATAAGTAAGTCTTCCATCTTGATGGTTCAGTCCCCAGGCTTTATGCGGCAAGCTTCATGCTGAGCCCTTCTTCACATGGAGGGCTATAGAGGGATGTAAACTATGGCATACCATCTGTGGTCTGAGTTTGTCTGGCTAAGGCAGCCCTTCACACCCCTTCTGAGGGGTTAATGAAAGACCTATGCACCATGAGAATGGCCGCTGAAAAGTGGTTATGGGTGATACATAAGGATGCAGGAGGACAGCCTCTTAAACATGATTTGTTCCCATGATCTAATTTTCAGCCCAATTGAAGTGAGATCTCGGAACGATCAGCTGATGTTTTTGGAACGAGCCTTCATTGACCCCCTTGGATTACCTGGTAGGCCATTCTACAGGTAAGGAAGATTGTGCCGTATTGTTGAACTAAATGTGTACCATAGCCTATGCCTGGAAGTTGAAGATATCTGTGTCCTCCGACATAGCCTCTCCCACCTCTATATCTTCCAAATTAGTTTGTTTTCTTTTGTGATTGGTCCTTGTAAGGTAAACACAAGCTTAATTTGCATGGCTAAAATTGCTCAGGCACACAGGCTTGAGGAACATCAGTTGCTCTCTTTCAGCTTCTGAATGTGAGTGCAGCATCTAGCTGGACCCTTCCTCTCCTCCCCAGCCCTCTCCTCTCCAAAACCCCAAAGCTTCTCTCTCTCCTTTTCTTTGCTATAAACTGAGTGATGTCTTCCTTTGAAAACTTCTTTCAGACACATCATCTTTGCCCCAAACAAGCACAACAAGTATGCTGGGGTATCCTTCCCTGGGATCTATGATGCTCTGTTTGATATCGCCCATAAACCAGACCAAGCCAAGGCCTGGGAAGACGTCAAGAGGCAGATCTCCATTGCAGCCTTCACAGTGGCAGCTGCAGCTGGGACTCTGGAAGAAGCTCTGATATGATGCGCTGAAAAACTACTGGCTGTAGTGAATAAAGCCCTACTCATTTTGGAACTTGGTGGCCCCACAGACTATCTTCGTTTGCCTTGTGCATTCTAGAAGATGAAAATCCATTAGATCCCATCTTTGGGGAGATGGATGCCTGGCATTCTCCAATGTCAAGAAGACCTAAAGTTCTTAAAGTCTTGCTTCCTTTGTCTATTACCAAATTGGCTTTGATACCTTCCATACCCAGGACTCTTCTGAGACAAGAGAAACGGTGAATGAGCCATCTTGCTATTAAGACACGAGATTCCTCATTGGCGTTCAGTTTCTGGATTGAAGACCTTGAGTGGTTTCCCCATAAGTGAATCCCACGGACATTCCTGCAGTTTTATCGAAGAGAGCTACATATTTGCAATAATCCTCAGCAAAGATATTTACTGTGGATTATCCGCAAGCTGGCACAACCCACTTGCAACCCACATCTTGTTTTGATGTGATTGCTCACGTTAGTACACATTAAAGCAACGGACAGCACCAAGCCCACCGCCCTTTGAGTCCTTCATACTTTCAGGCTTTAACAAGAGGTTTTCTTATAGACCCATAATATGCCTTGGATGCATCTTTAAAGAACATGAAACACCAACAAGGAGACAAGAAAAAGAGAACGAGACCGTATTTTTCCATGTATAGGACTATACTTTTGTCTAAAATCTTTAGACAAAAAAATTGAGGGTCATCTTATACATGGAAGTAAGCCGAGGAGAGAAAACAATTGGAGGGGAAAGCAGGTAAAGTTCTTAAAGTCTTGCTTCCTTTGTCTATTACCAAATTGGCTTTGATACCTTCCATACCCAGGACTCTTCTGAGACAAGAGAAACGGTGAATGAGCCATCTTGCTATTAAGACACGAGATTCCTCATTGGCGTTCAGTTTCTGGATTGAAGACCTTGAGTGGTTTCCCCATAAGTGAATCCCACGGACATTCCTGCAGTTTTATCGAAGAGAGCTACATATTTGCAATAATCCTCAGCAAAGATATTTACTGTGGATTATCCGCAAGCTGGCACAACCCACTTGCAACCCACATCTTGTTTTGATGTGATTGCTCACATTAGTACACATTAAAGCAACGGACAGCACCAAGCTTCAGAGGTGGTGAGGGAAAGCTCCCATCCTTTGGGTGGCTCCAGAACCTTTGTCTCGCTAAGTTCATGGATTTCCCAGGTGCCTTCTAAGTGGGAATAAAATGAGGACACAAGCCAGACTGCAGTTTTAAAAAGTGCAGATTGGTTGACATTTTAAAACCACAGTAAGGCTTGTGTCCTGTACAATGCTGCAAATTCCACTTGGCTTTTCTCGAGTGTGAAGCTTTAGCCCAAGTGACTTTAAATCTCATTGTTGTTTCTTAATCCTTAGGTCTATTTAGGTGTTAATCTTGAAAGTGTGTAGATTCAAAGGGTGGCAATGGCATGGGGATGCAGGTAAACCCCATCCTGGCATCCTAAACCCACAAGAGTATTGCACAGACTTTTACACAGTCCATGTGAAAGCCTGTGTGAGTGTTTGTAAGCATCTTCGTCTGAACACCCTTGCACGTTTCCTGTTAAGCAAACACTGCCGCTTGTAGAAACACTGTAGTGCATTCAGTGCAACATTCTTACAAACACCTATGTCGAGTTTTGTGCTGAAGGTATGCATGATTCCCAGGCAGGGTGGGGCCTGTGTGCATCACCAATGCCCACCGCCCTTTGAGTCCTTCATACTTTCAGGCTTTAACAAGAGGTTTTCTTATAGACCCATAATATGCCTTGGATGCATCTTTAAAGAACATGAAACACCAACAAGGAGACAAGAAAAAGAGAACGAGACCGTATTTTTCCATGTATAGGACTATACTTTTGTCTAAAATCTTTAGACAAAAAAATTGAGGGTCATCTTATACAGTACATAGAAGCAAACTAAGGAGAGAACAAAAACAAATGGAGGGGGAAGCAGGGATCAAAGCGATCCTGCAGCGCTTCGATCCCTTTCCCCCTACACTTGCTAAGCCCCACTTAGATTTCTTAATTTTGGATTAGAAAAGTGGGGGTGTCTTATACATGGGGGCATCTTATACACGGAAAAATATGGTATGTATGATTATATGATATTAATCAGTTGTGAGTCGCTAGGCTTGCATCCCTTCATTGGTAGAAAGCAGTATATAAAGAAGTTTTAAAAAAATAAACATTGTATGATTATATAATATTAATCAGTTGTGAATCGCTAGGCTTGCATCCCTACATTGGTAGAAAGCAGTATATAAAGAAGTTTTTTTTAAATAAACATGAGATACAGTTCTGCCTAATTTACAAGCTGAAGGATGCATGACCAATATAAGGAGATCCTGGACTTCCAATGCCCTAGCAGGTCTCACTAGTCATGGGCAAGCAGTAATTATGTGCTACCAAGTTGATTCCAACTTGTGTTTTCTAGCTATAAAGTACTCTGACGGGGTTCACCACTCTCTCCTTCTGGTGGTGCTCTGGAACGATGCTGCTTGTCCGAGGCACACACATAAGGGCACATCCCTCCATCATCCACACCCACTCTGGATGATCGCAGCAGGTTACTTCTCCAGGAATCAGTACTACATTTCCCGTAAAGTCTCAAAACAATGCTCTGTCTAGTATGCAGCGGTACTTGGGGACATTTTAAACGATGGCCTTCTCATTTCAGTTGGGAGTTTTACCTGTGGGTAACCCAGGGGGCAAATCAATGGGTTCATAGCAGGGATGTTAGCAAATCTTTGGGTCTGACTCCCAAATCCAAGTACAAGTCTTTGGTACAAAGTCCCAAGTCTGACTCTCTGTTCGAAACATTTTAAACAGTGGCCTTCTCATTTCAGTTGCGAGTTTTACCTGTGGGTAACCCAGGGGGGAAATCAATGGGGAGGGGTGAGTTCATAGCAAGGATTCTGGCCAACCTTTGGGTCCGATTCCCAAATCCAAGTACTGTACAAGTCTTTGGTCCCAAGTCCCAAGTCTGACTCTCTGTTCGAAACAAGCTTTTTTCACCCAGAAAAAAGGAGTGGCCTTCTCATTTCAGTTGCGAGTTTTACCTGTGGGTAACCCAGGGGGGAAATCAATGGGGAGGGGTGAGTTCATAGCAAGGATTCTGGCCAACCTTTGGGTCCGATTCCCAAATCCAAGTACTGTACAAGTCTTTGGTCCCAAGTCCCAAGTCTGACTCTCTGTTCGAAACAAGCTTTTTTCACCCAGAAAAAAGGGAGGAAGGGAAAGATCCAAGTTGGGAGTTAAGTCCAAGTCAAGGTCCCGTCCTTGATTCATAGAGAGCAAGATGCCAGTGAGCCCCTAAACCTGGATCCAGCCCAAAGCTCCACAGCTGGTCATGAAAAGCAACTGGCCTGATAGACAGGCAGCAAATATTCCATGTGTACTCAATGCTATTCCTTTCCCCTATTAAATTGTGCCTTAAAAGAAACTGGCCTCCCTCGTTGTGCATTCTTACCCATAAAAATTAGAATGCCTCCATTACATACTGACAAAAACTGCTGGTCCACATTCTCCTTCTTGACAGTTGATTTACAGAAGAAATGCCTTCAACGTTACATGGTCTTTTACAAGACAAGGAAAAGAAAACAACGGATTTGTTCAGTTATTGCTGCTGTGCCATGTGTTGTGCTTACGTAAAACTCCAGCTTTCATAGTTGAAAAGGAATGAGACTTGATCTTCTTCTCAAATGTGGGTTTCGGTGAAGAAGGCATGTTTAGCTTACATG